CTGCGGGAGGAAATAAAACACCTGACAGCATCAGGGCGTATTACCTGAACGGCTACTTAAACATAAACTGTTGCTGGCAGAGTTGCGGGGGAGCTCCGATCTCCCTGTGCCTTTGCTGCCAATTCCAGCAAAAGACAGGCTCTTTGCTTCTTTAACCTGCAAAAAAAAAAAAGAACAAAGGAGTCTGTAAAACGCCGTGTATTTGCCCAGTCCTTCCTCTGTCCCCTGTGCTCTACGCTATTTCAATTCCCTGACAGTGTAAATCCTCACACTTACCTCCCTCCCCCTCTCCCTCCATCCCCCTCTCCCTCCCCCCGCACAAGTCTGCTGCTATCTGATCTATGATGATATGTGATCTCTTGGATACAACCACACACACAAGTACCAGGCATTGCTACTCAGCTGAGCAAAATGTCTTTCTCCTAGCAGTGGTGCTCATCATCATAGATTTCAAATCCTTGACGATGTGGCCATGCTGTCCCTTCTTCCTTCTGCCACCTTCTCTCTTTGTCTGCCTGCTCTTCTTACCCTTGGGGCACTTCTGCCCTCCTGTGTGTAGCTGTATGGACTACCACACTATCGACTGCAGAGATCAAGGACTCCCCAGGGTCCCTAGCCCGTTTCCCCTGGATGTACGGAAACTTCTCATAGCGGATAACAACATTCAGGATATACCATCTGATTTCTTTATCTTTTATGGAGATCTGATCTACTTGGACTTCAGCAATAATTCCATCACCTCCATAGAAGAGGGGACTTTCAGCAGCTCCACAAAGCTGGTTTTTTTAGACTTAAGCTACAATAATTTAACGCAGCTCGATGCCGGGATATTCAGGTCGGCAGAAAAGCTGATCAAATTAAGCCTCGGGAACAATAATCTGGTGGATGTTGATGAGGCTGCTTTTGAGAACCTGGAGCAGCTCCAAGTGCTAGAGCTGAATGACAATAACTTGCAGACCCTCAGCGTGGCTGCCCTGGAAGGTCTTCCATCTCTTCGGATTATACGCCTGGAGGGCAACCCTTGGATCTGCGACTGTGACTTTGCCAACCTCTTCAGCTGGATACAGGAGAATGCATCCAAGCTTCAGAAAGGTAAGGCTAAAAGGGGTGTGTGTGTGTGTGTGCGCGCACATACTGTTCCTGCGGGTCAGATTATCTGTCTGGGTGTGTTGCCTGCAGTGACCCAAATGGTGGGTTTTGGTCCATCCACAATTACATGTTTGACACCAGTAAGTCTAGTAAAACAAAGCTGGTTTCTTATAGCAACAACATTCCTACCTGGCCCCCCCCAAAAATGTAGGACCTAATAATGTGTGAGTTTGGCTCGGGCACTAATCAGGGAGAGAAGGAGCCTTTTCACATGGGGTGAGCCAATGCTGATTCTCTTCCAGACCTTGGCTTCTTTCAGGTGAATAAATAGATTTCCCCTAATAAGTCCCTTTAAGGGATGAACATTTCATGCCAGCACACTGAGAGAAACGGATTTGACTCTGCCTTGCTCATCTATAAAACAGCACAGGAAGCTTCAGTCCGTGCTCCCTATTTTAAACCACTGTGGTTGATCCTTTCCTTGGGGTTATTTGCTTTTGGTAGGCAGCAGACAGATCTCTGACATCAGGTTAGCTGCTGATGTTGCTCATGAAAATAACATCGTTTATAGTCTGAGAAGCCAATTTAGACATTGGCTCAAGCTACAAAATTTGGATCCTCAGGCAGTTTGGTTCTGGAACACCCCAAAGTGCAGGGGACACGGTCTGGGGAGTTGGACTGGCATGCACTGAAATAGTATTAAGACTGTCGCGTGCAGGCTTCGAGACGCCCTCCTCAACTCTCCTCTTAATCTGACAAGCTTTAGCTGGAGATCACAGCACAGTTCATGGCTCCCTACAAGCACCAGGTCATAAACTTTTGCCACTGAGCCACCCAGCTGGCAGTGAAAGGCAAACTGCCGGGAGCATGGGAGGTCACAGAGCAGCTCTCGGTGCGTGAAGTAACACCTTTGTGAGATCGGAGCTGCAGGGTCTGTGTCTGAGTAGGACTGTGTTTGATTAGGGAAGGGGCTGGGATGATAAAAGACTGGGGCTTGAGGACTGGAGGAAGAGGACAGTGGTGGGGCCCCATTGCCGAAACAGCTCCACTGTGTTCCCTGGATTGGCAGAGGCAGAAGAAGGAAAAGACGATGTGAGCTAAGAAACCAATTTCAGTAGCTTCATTTTTTTTAATTCTCATCATCACCAGTGAGGCTGTAATAGCTTATGTCCCTGCCCTTGGGTGTCTGACCTTGGGTGGCTTTTTCTGTGCATTATGTACTCTCTGCTGAAACAAAAGGATGTTGTTTTGGGGAACAACTGATTTTCAAAAAAAAAAAGGTGTGTGTGTGTGTTGGGCGGGGGGAGGTTATATAACCACTCAATAGGCCCCACTTTGCCCCAACCCTTTCACCATGTTTAAGTCACACCTTAATCCTTCTTCCTGTATCATGCCCAGTTTTGGTTTGTTTCTTAGTTGAAAACGTGCAGACCTGTGACCTCTTATGCTGTCTCCAAGTCAAACTCAGGCCCGTCTTCCCCCTACATGCAAGCCCAGACTCCATCTATTGTCCCTCTCCCCCAGCCCAGGTTCCCAGCTGAACCTTCATCCCAAGATCTTGTCCGAGCTGCATTTAAACTTCGCTCCCTAAACCTTTCCCTGTTAGAAAGTGTTGGTTTCTCCCACCTCTTTTTCTGACCCAGGACTTCCCCAGTCATTCTGACCTACCTTGCCCTCATATCCAAACCAATTCTGGTCAGGCCTTGTGCCCTCAACCCCAGCTTGTGTCCTGTCCCATCCTCTTTCAGCAGAGTTGCCTCCTTTCTCCTCTCACCTGGCATTGTTCTTATGCCTATTTTCTAAGCTCATTTCAACTCCAAGCTTGTTTGGCCTGGAAATCCCAAGGGATCCAGATTTCTCATAGCATTTCCAGTGCTTCCTGATATCATCCCAGCAAGGTATGCCCTCGGACAATATCTAATTGGGACCACTTTAATGCCCAGGTGAATCAAGGAAACAGAAATGCTGACCAAGTAACTAAAAGTATTCACTAGTTTCTTCCAAGCCTCAAAAGATTCACTTTGATTTATCTTTGGGCAGAAGTTCAAACTGGTTCTTTTTGCAGTTGTTTCCCCGCATCCCTATACCTCAATCCTGCAAACAGAGGGTTAATAGCTTTACTCATGACAGCATATAAGCAGAAGGGCTTGCAGGATCAGGACTCAAATACCCTTAGAAGTACAGGCTGGGTGCATCTACACATGCACTTTAATGCACATTAGCCTATTTCAATGCACATTAAGTGTCACTTAAAACATGCTCTTAGTTAATGCTCATTAAGACAAGCTAATGCGCAATTTCCTAGTACCTCACCGTGAAGATACTGGATTTAATGCACATTAACTAAAGCACATTAATGCACATGTAGATGCACTTGCTGTCTCTTCAGTTAAAGTATAAAGACCTTATTTAAGGATGTGCAAGCAAAAACCGAGCTGCAAAGTGGGAGCATTGCTTTGTGAATCTTGAGTGAGACTGAACATGATTCTCCAGTGCTTTTCAACTTCTGCCATCACTTCCTTATGGGAGAAGCAAGGATTTTTTACTATCATGGCAGCAACATCACTCTATCACTTTCTTAGGCAATGTAGGTATAAAAATAGCATGTTGCTATTCTGATTTAGCAGCATTTTCCACCTGCTTTTCACAGTGTAATTAACAATGCTAAGTGCTAGGCATTTGACATCAGATGCTTTATCACTTTATGTGTCTGGTCGTCAAAGCCACATTCTGATTAACTTCTCTGATAGCATTACAGCCGGAAATGACTCTGCAGGGTAGCAGGAAAAACTGCACTCCACCTGGATATTTAGTATTCAGACTAATTGACTTTGTGATATGCTTCTGGATGTCTGGAGACACATTAAAGTGTTTTTGCTTTGAGCATGTCAAGAGAAGTAGGGCAGCCAGCATGATGCCTGGAGACAGTGTAAAAGTGGAAGAGGCAGGGTGAACTTCCAGAGTTCAAAATAAAAGAATGAATTCTGCAGCACACATTCCCTTTCTGGTTCTGTAGCAACTCCACTGTTTGCACTTGCTGGTGTGTATTAATGGGGAAAGCTAGGATGATTGGTGATTACATCTACTTAAGGGTCAATGAGAACAGGCTGTGATTTAGCAATGCAGGCTGACAAGGGATAGTTCTATAAAGTCTCAAGCTTGAAACCACCAGATACCTTACATTCAACGTTCAGGTGTGGGGGGAAAGGGAATACATTGAAATACAGGTGAACTGAATTATCAGAGACCTACAACATTTTATGCAACAGCGTTGGCCACAAAGCATTGCAAAGGTGGTATAAAGCTTTGGCTAATGTAGTGGCCATCTCTGCTAGGCTCAAAACCAGCTTGAGGTGTGATATGGTGGACTGGGAGAGGAGAAGGCCTGCCAGGATAGGAAGAGGATACACTCCTGATATTCGGTAGCTAGTGTAACACCCATAGGACTAACTTGCACTAGTGAGAGATTCTAGACCTAGGACTGCAGCTTTCAGATATGACTGTGGAGTATGGTGACCATTTTAAAGGTTAGAGCTGGCAGAGAAAAAGGAAGGAGAGGCTGGGAAGGAGAAACATCAGGATGGCTTCAGACTGTAAATTTCTTTTGATCATGTGCTTAAAGAGCATTTTGCAGAGTCTCATTTTAATGGGCTCTGCCTCTTCTGTCAAATAAAGTGACTCCAACTGGAACCATTTATTTAGCCCACCGGCTACTCTATCTCTGAACTTTGGTGCTTCAGTAAGGGGGATCCTGATCCAGCTGCCTTGGATTTTAATTATATAAACCAGATGCCTGATGGATAGGGTTTAACAAAAACGAAACACACAGATTGTAGTCACCATACACGTAGTTTTAAACCCTAGAACAATTCATCCCCCAAACCCTCTACTTGTGCAATCCAGATGTCTGGATAAATTGGTGGCCCATGTCTTAACAATAATCCAACCCACGGCATTTTGCAAAACCCATGTCCATTTTCCCTGAATTCTTATTTAAGGTAGAAAGTCTGTGAACTTGCAGTCAGTGCTGACCTGTCTCCAACTGTTTGGTTGGGAAGCTTTTCCCCAGCTGTGCTGCTTTTTGCACATCCAGTTCTGTTTCTTCATATAACCAGCTGGGATTTGAGTCATTTTACAGCTCCCAGCATTTATTCATCCAACCCATATTTTAAATAAAGCATCCCTTGGTAATAAGTGTTGCTTCTCACATGCTACATTGCAAACAGACTTGTAACAGAAGCTGCATATAAAGGTTTGTGCTTCAAGCCGAAGGCTGTTGATTCCTCTTCCAGCATTGTGAAAAGGTTAAAAAAAATCTTGAATTTCCATCATGCTTCAAAACCAAATGTACGTTTTGCCATTGGAATTTCTCCAGTCAATGAATCAAATTGTCAAAGGAACTATATTCTTGTTTAAAAATAAATGAATGGTGTTGTATAGCAAGTTTTTCTTCCTGAAAGAATCTGAAAAGTGCTGTCCAAACCACAGACGAAATTCACCCTGGTTTTTAAGCTTTCTTCAAGTTAACTGCATGCAGGTAAAATGCATTTTACGGGACTGCAGAACCACTGAGATATCTGCTGCACATTGCAAGGGGCCAGATACTAAAGATATTAAGGAATTTTATTTTGCAATGTGCTTCTGTACAGAAAAGATAGTCTTTTACATAACAGTTCTGCTGAACATCCCTCTCCATGTGTATGTACACACACACACACACACGGGCACCCATGCTCTGAAATAAATAGTATCCTATCTTTGAAGGATGAGAGACCGGGAATTTGAAGGTTAAACTGATTTATCAAAAGTGAGAGGAAGAGCATATACTTGAAGTTTTCCAAGGAACTTGGGAGATGCAATGTAAGAAATGTGCTGTTTGGAAGTGTGAGTTAATGCTGAATAAATGCAAGCATGTTTGGAGACTTGATTTGCAAAACTTTGGGATCTGTATTCCAACCATCCAAGTCTGCTAGGGGTGTAGAAGAGATCTTAAGAATACAAGG